CCCCCCTTTTCTATTTTCCCGCATAGTATATATACTGCGATTGTTTACAGGGCCGTTACATCAAAGTCATACCCCCCCTCCCCTTCCCACTGCAGCATGCACACCATCAGTGCCAACATTAGACATTTTTATTTCCCCACTATGATGCCTTGTGTGTGAAAAATCAATGAACGAGCAAATAACTCTATTTTCACGTGCACACTGTAAAACGTAGAGCGACCTTTCTTTCCCGAATAGAGCGACGTAAAGGCTTCATCGCTCTGTTGCGAAATGACTCGACACTAGTCTTCTTCGTAACAGAAAATGTCGCAGAAACGACTCTAAACGAGCGACGTTTGCGAAAATGACTCAAAATGAGTCTTATTCGTAACCAAAAATGAAAGTTACTCCAAACGATTGATGTAATTAACATCGCTCCCCAAGAGTCATCAAATTGGATTCACAACATCGCTCCATTAAGATCGTATTTGGTCACTCCTTTACTCGTAGTGCACACACTAAAATCTTCTGAAATTTTTTAAATTCATAACTTACTGAGTTTTGTAAACACATGCTACACATGAACAAATTTCTTCATTATACTGCGACGTATTAAAAATTGCGTATATAAGCTGAGCATGTTTACAGAACTCAATATAGGCGACATGAATAAAAAAGTTCATAAGCTTTCAGTGTGCTCGTGAGATCTCTTTAAAGACGGCAAGACCTTACCTTTACCTTACCCCAGCAGGAGAAAATGTCACCCACGGGGATACTACATTCATCGTGGCCTTTGTAAAAACTTGCAAAATTTTTACAAAAATACAAAAATAAATAAAAATAAAAAAGTGTTTTTTTTTTCCATGAAAATAAAAAAGTGTTTTTTTTTCCATGAAAATGAAATCAAGTGTAATTTTCTGCTGTCGCTCCCCTTCCCACTGTGAAAAATAGTAGGTAGGTTTACAAGGAAAATTTTCCTTGACGAAGTTGTAAAATTATCCATCTGGAATCGTAAAAATACATGAAGTACGTATCGACTCCAAATCTATTGGCGAGTAAGAAATGTTCTCTCGTAAATTTACAACTTAAATTATAATTCCAGTTTACAAAATTTTTGTAAATTTACGACGATATTTTTTATAGTGCCCGCTGGCCTGGCCGCCCCGCGAGCGCGAGGCTCCCCTCCGCTGCAGATGAGCTTAAATAAACTGCATGGAGCGCGGCGGCGCGCCGGGGCCGGCCGAGTGGAGGAGTGACTGAAAAGCTATGGAGATGCAAAAGCTGCTTTTCCCCCCTGTGAATGTTTTATTCATGATCGCCTCTGTTTCTTTCGCATTTCAAGCAACCTCGTGCTTCTCTGCCCCCCTACCTCCCCCGCTGCCTAACGCCACCCTCCTCTCCCCGTATCCGGGCGAGGGGAGAGCGGGGTGGGGACGGAGGGTAGGACCACAACCCGGCCCAACTCAAAGAAGCTTTCGCCCGCCTTCTCTTTCTCGGCACAGGAGCCGCAGGGGGGTGGGTGGGGGGGATAACTTTTAATTAGGATAATGTTTGCAGTGTTTCCCGTCTACGACCGCTGAGCCAGTCGTTAATAATTGAAGTATCTAAATCGACTTGATCGGCCTTATTCCCCCCCCCCCCTCGAGCCCCTTGTCTTCTCTCTCTCTCCGTACATATAAAACTTTTCGTCAAGGTCGTACTAGAGATAGGGTTGGAGGAAGAAAAGGTGTCGTCTTCCTCCTCTCTGCGCTAAAGCAAAAGCGGAAAACGCAGTCGTCGCAGTGGCGGGAGATTTGAACTCGCGCGCGGCGAATGGAGTTTCAAGAGGAGCTCATTAGGAAAAGAGGAAAAGGGGGAATGGGGGTAGCAGGGGTAGCATCACGCTCTCTCTCTCTCTCTCTCTCTCTCTCTCTCTCTCTCTCTCTCTCACACACACACACACACACACACACACGACAAATGGGCCTTGGCCTCGCGGATCGTGTCAAGATCTGCTGCTGAATTTAATATGCAGAGCGCGGCGCCGCCACGGCGCAGATGGGGGAACCAAGACTGTGTGCGGAGAGAGCGAGAGAGAGAGAGAGAGAGAAAGAGAGAGAGAGAGAGAGAGAGGTCACAGTGGGATTATTTCGGGTGCGCGTCTCCAACGGCGAGCGAGCAGGTTTGGCTTACTTCCTCTTCCCCCAGATGGGAGGTACAGTCTCCGCGAAAGGCAGCTGGGCGAGACGTCCTCGGCAAGAAGCCTTAATGAGCCACAGCAACGGCTCGCCATTTCGGATCACGGCCGCGTCTCAAGCGAAAAAAGAAGGGCATGTTATGTTAAGTTTAGGGTTGGAAACCCTTGAAAGTTTCCGGAAAATCTCAGGAAAATTTCGGGATTTTTTTTCCTGATTTGGAAGGTTTTTCGGGAGATTTGGGGAAATTTTCCG